CCCCCCCCCAGCAACTTCTCTCCTGCGTTAATTTATAGCACTTGCAAATACTTGGTGGTGCTATATATTTGTTTCTCTCTTTTGCCCAACATAATCCCCTTGGGGACAAGGACTTTGTGTTCTGTTCACTACTAAATCGCCATAGAGAAGAGATCTGACATCTCCCCCTCATTGTAAATTATAAAGCACTTCTGTGTGTTGTTTCATTGGATTGTCACCCAACAAAGTGAAGCAGACAAGGAGTATTATGCTCATTTCGCAGGTAGATGCAGAAAGACAATTGCTTGCTTGAGTCTCTTGGAAACCATGAAGCCTTTAGGGCATTGGTTCTCCTTGTCATCTATTCCTGCCTAACCTTGTGCAGGGATTCTTGTGTGTCATGCAGTGGTGCTGGGATGAGCAAGAGCATCTAGAAGTTTCCCTCATCCGGATCCTTCCTTCATCTACTGGCCTCACTCGCTTTGTTCTCTGCAGGTCAAGGCCATGGAGGTAGACTTAGAGAAGCCTCAGGAGCTCGTGCGGAAGCCCTATGTGCTAAATGGTGAGTACTGGCCACATTCCTGTAGGTTACCATCCAGCATAGTCAGGGCCGGAAAGGGCAGATGGAAAAACCGAGGATCAGAAAGAAGTGATCTGGTCCAGGGCTCACAGAGTTAGAGTTGTGTCTCCAGCTGGAACGTTTAGTCTACTGACGAAACTCATATGTGTCAAGTGAGGTCAGAGATGTTCAGGGGGGATGGAGCCAGGTGCCTGAGAGGTTAGAAAAGAAACCATGAAGTCTCAGGCACACATTTCAGCTTCTCCTAAATTTAAGGATGAACAGATTTGTAGAGATGTCACCATCTTATTTAATCTTCCCAATGACTAATCAATTTCATGTTCATTAAGGCCATAGAAACTCAGAATACTCTGGAATTCTCCACCCACCCTTCCTCTTACATCAGATTTTTTTTTAAATATGTCTTTATTGATTTCAGGAGGAAGGGAGAAGGAGAGAGAGAGATAGAAACATCAATGATGGGAGAGTCATTGATCAGCTGCCTCCTGCACGCCCCCTACTGGGGATGGAGCCCGAAACCCTGGACATGTGCCCTAACTGGGAATTAAACAGTGATCTCCTGGATCATAGGTCAGTGCTCAACCACTAAGCCATGCTGACTGGGCCTTATATCAGATTTCTAACAGTTCTCCTGAATGTAAAAGATTTGAATAGCCAGACATTTGATATAGAATTCCTTGAGGTCCTGTCTTTAGTATATCTCAGTGATTCTCATAAGGATTACTGCATTGGACTGCATATATAAAATCATGTACTTATTGTAGTCAAAGCTAATTTTAAAAATTTTGACTCTAAGCAGTTTTGCACTTAACCCTGGATAAGATTTGACTACCATGTTTCCTTCCGTGAGCTATTTTTCTTCCGTCATAGATGAGAAGGAGGGAGCATTTGCGTAGCTATTTCAAAAGCAAAGCCATCACTGGCTCCACAGCTTGGCTTTTTCCTCCCATGGAAGAGAGGTGCCAGGCCCAGCCTTAGGCCCTAGTTCTCACTTTTTCAGGCCTTTCCTGTTTCATGTTTACAGTAACACTTCAAGAAGAGGGTCTCGCCAAGCTGGGCGTGGCTTAGTGGTTGAGCATGGACCTAAGAGACCTAAGATCCAGGAGATCGAGGTTCGATTCCCGGTCAGGACACATGCCCGGGTTGTGGGCTCCATCCCCAGCAGGGGGCATGCAGGAGGCAGCTGATCAATGACTCATCATTGATGTTTCTATCTCTCTCTTCCTCTCCCTTCCTCTCTCTCCGAAATCAATAAAGATATATTTAATTAAAAAAAAAAAAAGAGGGTCTCAGTTTAGAGCTGGAAGGGAGCCCTGGCCTGTGGACAGGCAGTGTATTTTCATCTCTGTCCCAGGACCTGGCACTAAATAAAGATTATAAGTATGCTGCCTTTTTCTTACCTATCTGAGGTCCAAAGAGATGACTTGCCTTTCAGGAAGTTGCCACTGGCAGATGATTGTGTCATAGGCAGAGCCTGGGACCCAAGGGGCTGAAGAGGGAGATTCTAGCACTGAATATGGGGGCAGAGAGGCAAAGCCCACCAGATGGCTTGGGATTGGGCGAAGGGGTGACTGGGCAGCTCAGACAGTGCAGGAAGCAACACCTCATTCCCTATCTCCTGGCTTCTCTCACCCCAGACCTGGAGGCAGAAGCCAGTCTCCCAGAAAAGAAAGGAAATACGCTGTCTCGGGACCTCATAGACTATGTACGCTACATGGTGGAGAACCATGGGGAGGACTACAAGGTGAGTAGCTCAGGCCTGACAGAAAGCACCACTTGGGCCTGTTGGAAAGGCATCGTGGACCATTCGTGATCTGATCTGCTTGTCTAGGGCCAGTTTCCTGAGTCGAAACAAAGGGAAGAAAGACTCTAGGAGATGGATCCTACTGACAGTGCTTATAGCTGGTAGACTGAGTGGCTGTCCCACAAATACGTTGTTTTGCTTGCATAGTATTTACAAAGAACTTGAACTAGTTGCCATTTTAGTTATAGGAGGTTTCAAATAAAAGTCCCTATTTTTGGCTTCAGTTAAAAATGGAAAGATCTGGCTACACTGCCCCCTCTCCCCCCATGCCTAGTGGGATTAATTGGCTGTGGTTGAAGCATGCGCTGCTCAGCTGGCCCCTGCAGCATCTGCCCCCATTTCCCCACATACACCATGGCTTTTGAGGTGAGGAAGCTGAGCCTCTGGGACAGGAAGTGGCTGGCCCACCTCCAGCAGAGCTAGGATTTGAGCCTTTGCCTGTCCAGCCCTCAAGTAACCCTTCTCTCTTCTTAGGCCATGGCCCGGGATGAGAAGAATTACTATCAAGATACCCCGAAACAGATTCGGAACAAGATCAACGTCTATAAGCGTTTTTACCCAGTGGAGTGGCAAGCCTTCACTCAGTCTTTACAGAACACGATGGAGGTCGAGTGACTGGTCTACACCGGCCCCAGGCGGAAGCCTCCTGCTGGACCAAGAAGCTGGAGCCAGGGTTGAAGGCAAGGAGGGGCGTGTGGTTAGAGGCTGGCCGAACCCCACTCGGGGCCAGGGCCCAGGGCTAGGGCCAGGCCCGCCTCATTTGGGTGACGTGAGGAGATGGTGGCTGTTCCATAGCAGGGTCGTAGGCAGGCTGCAGGGTGTGCACTGGGCATTTTCTTAGTCTTGATACTCTGTCTTCAGCTACTAATGATACAAAAATCCTCCTGTTCCTGAGGCTTCTACAAGCACGGAAAATGTCTCTTAGTGCTTTTGAAGAGCTTAGTGATTTTACATAAATCATTTCACGTCAGGCCCCATAAGGTGTGATTTTATTCTCGTCTTGCAGGTAAGGGAACAGGCTGGGAGGCACTGGGGGTGGGCTGAAGTCACGTCTCTCCTACAGGTAGGCCTGGGCTTTTACTTGCTGCCATCTGACCCACCAGGGCACACTGAGACTCCAGCAGTGACTGGCCACCAGGCACGGCAAGCACGGCCTTTAGGACCGAGTCTAGCGGAGCTCCAGAGGGCCTTTGCTGTTTGGCCTCGTAGTTTCAGTCCTTCACAGCCTCCCAGATTCAGGCCTTTGACTAGGCAGGCCCCTGACACCTTGCTTCTTTACCCAGTTCAGGTGCCAATTTTATTTTATTTATTTATTTAAAATGTTTTTATTGATTTTAGAGAGGAAAGGAGAGGGAAATGGAAACATCAATGACAGTCACTGATCAGCTGCCTCCTGCACACCCCCTACTGGGGATCAAGCCCACAACCCGGGCATGTACCTTGACTGGGAATCGAACTGGTTAACTCTTGGTTCATGGGTCGATGCTTAACCACTGAGCCACAGAGGCCGGGCTCAGGTGCCAATTTTAGGAAGTCTTCCCTACCATTACCCCCTGCCCCCAGGCCCTGTAAGTGTCCTGTAGCCCCCATACCCCAGACTTCCTGTTAGCAATACCTGTCCATCATAACTGGTTTTTAATCTGCTTGACATCCTCTATCAGACAGGGCGAGTGCAGGGGCCTTGCCTGGAAATGCTTGGGGAGTGGCCTCCATTCTGACCTGGGGTGTGGAGGCTGTCAGATGATGTCCTTGGTGGTCCCATTTCCAGGCTTTGCTAAAAGGGCCAGAGCCAGGAGTGGGAGGAGGGTTTGGATACCACCCCAACCCCATGTGGACTGAAGGGGCTGGGGACTTGCTGTTGACAAATTGGATCATAGGAAGTGTTCTGGAACCACCCTCTAGCTGTCCCTCACTGGGACTGTAAGCACCCAACACACATTCATCAAAATCACAATTCAAATGAAACCAGCTGAGTTTTTGGCATTTATTGTGTAGTACCTCGGGCGCTGCCTGCACTCCATCTCACGCCGTCTGTCCTCAGCAGCCTGCGGGTCTGGGTTCGCGAGGCTCAGGCAGGGCAGCAAGGCCCTTTATTCCAGATCTTTGGTGGGAATCCTCCCCCATTCCTTAGTGCACCCATCTCCCGGACACAGCAGATGAGGAAAAGTTGGAGGGTCCCCTTTTCAGAGCTACTAGAAAGGACTCTGAGGACTTGTAAGTAGACAGCAAGCGTGGGAGGCACACTGCTCACTGTCCCATTCAAGGTCTGGAGCAGCGGCAAGAGGACAACACCACAGGCAGGTTCCAGCAGCTGGTGCAAAGTGCTGGCAGTTGCTACTAAACTAGCATAAGAACAAAGTGTTTTCCAAAGGCAGGTGGAAAGGTTGTATGGAGAATCAGGTGCTTCCTTCAGGCAGATAGTCCAGTTATGACATTTTCACCAGCACCTCTGCGGAGGGCTGGGGGCAATGAGGACTGACACCATCCCCTCCCCAGCCCTCCCCAGTCTTAGAGCTGGTACCACTGCTCAGTGATGGGCAGTTGTGGGCACCAAGAGGTGCCAGAGGCTTCTTGGGATAGGCAGTCCAAGGTGATGGTCCCAGAATCCTCAAGCTCTCTTGCCCAGACCATCCACATATCCCAGCTAAGCAGAGGCTTCCCTCCCTCGTGAAGAGTGGGTACCGCGTGGTTAGTGCCCACATGCTCTCAGGTCCAGAGCCTTCCTGCTGCCATCTTCATTACAAGAACTGCCCAGACACTTCCTCCCTATATTCCCAGGCTCAGGTAGGCGGGAGCTGCAGAGGTGGGGCAGTGGCGGGAAGGTGTCACCCTGGCTAGCTCAGGAACCTCCCTTTGAGATGAACAGCTCCAGGTAATGCCTGGTTTGCAAAAGCAGTTATCTGGGTTCCTGAATCAACGTCACATTCAGGAGCAACTGGTAAGAGCACCACAAGGCCAGGCAGCTAGCTTTTCTTAAGAAAGGACGCTGTCCCACCTTGCGCAGCGTCTGGTCCTGGAAATCAGAGCAGATGGGCCCTGTGGCACTCTGCTTGGAGGACAGGCCAGCAGCCCCAGCAGAGGAGTGCAGGCTTCAGCCACAGACTTGCTGGGGCACATCCACTGGCCAACAGAACATCTCTATTCTGTAGAAGTATCAGGAGTGGCAGTCCGACCCTGCAGTGCCTCTCAGCAGTGTGTGTCTTCTGGTGCCACTGGGACCCATTACTTCTGAGTGGTCTTTAAAAGCAGCTCAACTACATGCAGTTGAACTCTATTCAAGTTCACCTTCCCCTGCTGGGGACTTTAAGAATTGCACTACATAGTGGTACTCAGTAGGCCAAGGCAGATCTCGGGAAGAAAAGGGTCCCCTCACCAACGCTGGTCCCAAAGGTAACTTTCAAGCACTGGAAACCAGCTGGGGCTTATAGAACACAGAAGCGAGAAGTTGTCAGAAAAGTTTCAAAGGCTATTCTACAACCCAAGTCGTTCCTTAATTATTGAAAATAAAAGCAGACAAATCAACTCAATGCAGAAAGTTAGTCCTGCAGCCCCCGGGCAGAGCAGGCTACTCTTCACTTCTCCTGCCTCCCTCCGCCCCTTGTCTTGCACCAGCCACAGAACTGAAGAGAGTAAACATCAAGTGAAACAAAGGCACGTGACCTGTTCTCAACGGAAAAGCAAACTGAGTCGGGCATCTGCTCTCGCAAAAGTCCACTTGCGGCTGTTAATTCAGTGGCCACGACAGACAAGGCCCCTTCCTTCGCCTGCACTAAAGAGAATGTCGGTGCAGACAAGACGGCCCTTAGGCTGGCTGGTCCCTGGAAGGAGAATCTGTGTACGGAGAGAACGGACGTTCCCTCCAGCTCCACTGTGGCTGGGCAGCCACGGGTCTAAAAGGCTGAGCCACGAGCCCCAGGCTACCCCACTGGCTGGTCTGCTAGGTCTTTCATTTCTTTTCACCTGGATTTACATGACTGAAATTTCCTTTCCCAGAGTCCTTTGTTACCTATATAGAAGGGGTCTGACTACTGATGGAGTTACATTCATGTGGATCAGTGTGAAGTACACTGACATCAATTACAGCCAATGGGCAGGGGCAGCTACGGCTTATAGCTTATCACTTTGTCATTCATGATTCCAGCTATTTTCCTCAAAGATCCAAATTTTCCATGACAGTCACATGGGGTTTTGATAACACACCTAGAAACAGAGCGTAAGTCTTTGGCCTGTTCCCTCTATAAATAAATAAATAATCACGATGCCCAGCTCTGATGGGCGTCTTCGGTCTTCTTCCCCCCTGGGGAATGGGACTCCAGTCTCCCCACTTACGAAAGCATGGGCGCTGGCACAGTTAACACAATAGCAGCAGCTTTTGCCTCCAGACTTGGTGGGGGAAAGCTTTCAGTTTTTCTGATTAGAGGATGAGCACCTCTTATTCTACAGTCATGAGAGGCTGGTGGGCCAGGCCTTGGCTTGGGGAAGGCGGGGGGTTTCAGATCCTTGATATGATGACCTTCAGGTTTGTCCTCAATTTCTTATCTCTGTTGCTGGGAAATGCATCTCCCAATTTGAGAAAACCATAGAAATCCTTTCAAAATGATGGCCCTGGGGCCAGAGGGAGAGACTGGTCAAGGCCATAAGCCAGATGGGCAGAGCTGGGCTGAAGGACAATGTGGAGCTGAGAGCCAGGGTTCACTGTCCAGAACCACCCTCGAGGAGGAGCATGCAGTTGCCAGGAGCGAACAGTCTAGACTGGGAGTACTTCTGACACCTAGATGGCCCTCAGCCACAGGAACCTGCAGGGCAGGGAGCACTGAGCCCACTGAGCATCTCACCACACAGGTCGGGAGGCGCCCTCACTGTAAACGCTGGATCCCCTTCTGTCCGGAAGAAGCCAGATACTCTCTGTGCTCGCCCTCTGCCCCATCCGCCTCCCCGCTTCAGCCCCATTGCCACCTCACCAGGAAGGCTTCTTCGTGGTTCTTGGCCTTGCCCAGACCCTGCTCATGAGGGCAAGGAGAGAAGGGATGTGTAGCTCCTGGCCCAGGCCCAGGCGGGAGAGGAAGAAGCAGGAGCAGCGGAACTGGGGCACCCAAGGGCTGGTCGGCGAACAGGTGGTGCCCACCTAGGAGAGAAGCTGCAAGAGTAGTTTCCAGATGTGCACGGTGCCAGGGTTTCCAAAGCCGGGTCCTGCAGGGGCGATGCTGGCTCCCAAGAGGAAGACTTCCCGCTGCCTGTTGACAGCCTGTAGACCCAGCTCCTGCTGTAGCTCCACCATGCTCAAGGCCTCGCTCAGGTCCTGGTGAAACAACCAGTTTTTCCCAACACCCAGCCTCATCGCCCACGAAATAAACTTGAGCTACTTCAGGGAACCCTGGGGCCCAAGTTCCCAGAAGTGGCCTCTGGAACCCCTGGTCTAAACTCTTCCTCATCTCTGCCTTTCCTCTGTACTAACCTCTCTTCATCCCATCATGAGCAGCACTTCCTATACGTCAGGCATTGTGATAGGTACTAAGTCTTATTTAATTCTCACAGTGTAAACTGATGAGGAAATTGGCTCAGGGAAGGTGAAGTCATTGTCAAGGAAATAGAAGTGGCAGAGCCAGATGTCAAACTCAGGTTGGTGTGATACCCAAGTATAGGACCCTTATAGGAATCCCAGCTTAGGTTCCTAAACTCAGTAGTGGAGAGATCTTACAGTGGGGTCACTTCTGGACAAGGGCCTTGCCTCCCGACTCCAGACACCAGCTGAGGAAAGTATGAGGCAACTATAGAATACGGCTGGTGAGGGCACATTTTAACGTCAAGACTGGCCTAAAATTAAAATGATTCTTTTTGGAGCAATTCATAGAATGCTGGGACCTTCGGTGTTGTCTCCTGTAGGTTCAAAATTGTTATAGCCTGCCTGGTGTGGCTCTGGCTGAGCACTGGCCCATGAACCAGGGTTCGATTCCCAGTCAGGGCACATGCCTGGGTTTCAGGCCCAATCCCCAGCAAGGGGTGTGCAGGAGGCAGCTCATCAATGACTCTAATGGATGATTCTCCCTCTCCCTTCCTCTCTCTGAAATCAATTTAAAAAAATACATCAAAATTGCTATAAATTATAGTTTATATGTAGGGTGATGATGTAATTCATTGTCCAAATCGGTGTACTTCTGAGACTCAAAATGGGCACTACCAATAATCATACTAGAACAACAGGCATAAACGGGGACTGTCCCAGGCAGACCAAGACCTACAGTCACCTATTTATGAAGGTCACCTATTTCCCGACAGGCAGGGGGACTCTGAGGTCAAAGACACAAGCCTCTCTCCAACCAGGTTGGAAACGTCCCATGACATTCAAGGTCAGGGTCACAGGCCATGGGAGATATTTCAGGACTCCGTACCTTGGCGGTTTCACCTGCTATTGAGATAGCACTTTAGGTCTGTGATGCTGAGGGCTGCTGGGCCCAGGGCACCTCTCTGGCTCCCAGGAGAGGTATAGTGTAGTGGTTAAGAGCAGAGACTTTGAGGACGATCTGAGTTCAAGTCCTGGCTTTGCCACTTCCCAACTGTAACTTTGGGCACTTAGGGACAACAGCAAGGCCTATCTTGGGGTCTTTGTAGGACTAAAGTGAGGTTATGACTGTCAGGGGCTTGGCGCTGTGCCTGGCACACTAAGCACACAATCAGTGCTCGTTGTTATTACACTTAGTCTGTTAACTTCTCATCATTTCCCAGCTTTAGCTCTCTGATCAGAGAGCCAGAAGTCACAAGGACACAGCAGAATGGAAAAGCTGCAGGTTTGGGAGTTAGATATTCCAATTTCACTATTTTCAAGGTGTACCAACCTCGGGGATGCCCTGGTTGAGCTTCAGATGCCCTGTAAAGTAAGACTGGTGTTCCATACCTTGGAAGGCCAACAGAAGCATAATATGAAATGTCATTCAACACCACACCTGGCATCTAGTGGATACTTAATTACTTTTCTCATTTTTCCAGGATGACAGGGAGGCCGAAGGGAAGGCAGACAGGATTAGGGGTATGGGATGGGGCAGAAGAGTGGGGGACAGGCTCTCCACCCTCGCTCCAGGTCATAGGCCTGGGCCTGAATCCCTCTCCAGTGTGCCTGCCCTGCCCAGGCACCTGTGGATCAAGTCTGGCCTGAACCAGACTCCTGGAGCCCTCACCTGCTTGTTGGCCACCACGACGATAGGCAGGTCGGGGTCCTTGTCCAGCAGCCTGTGCAGCTCCTGCCGGGCCCAGGGCAGCCGCAGCCGGTCAGCCGAGTCCACCATGAACACCAGCACATCCACCTCGTTCACAAACTCCATCCAGTAGAAGCGCAGGTTCTGGCTGCCGCCGACTAAGGAGAGGTCAGGGGCCAGCTCAGAGCCTCCCTGAGCCCTGGCTCTCTACATACAGCCCCATCCCCACCCTACTTCCAGCTTCCCAAGGTTTCATCAACCAGAACAAGGAAAAGACCACAGGTTCCACAGCCAATCAGACCTGGGTTTAGTTCTAGGTGACAGCTGGGTCTCCCTGGGTTAAGTTGCCACCTTCAAACGTTAGTCTCCTACTCACTGAACTTACCTAACAACAAAATCCAAAGGTACATATACACTGTTCTCTTCTGAGGGCTGGTATATAGAAAAATGCTCAAGAAGTAGTACTTCTAGTTATTTCTCCTGGGCTGCCTTGCCTCCTGACAATTCCTAGCTTTCTCCTGAGTCAATGGTAGCTGCGGTCAGAAGCCAGGACTTCCTGCCCTGCCTGTGCACAGCCATTCTCCATTCAGTTTTTTTTGTTCAGTTTGGTCACCCCATTTTCTTCCCCTGGAAACGCCATACTCAGTCCTACCACATGGCTGCCCATGTACATCCCCAACGTGGGTTGCCTTCCTGTTCGTTCTGTCCCTCTGCAGAGTCCCCATTGGTGACCCTGCAGCCTAGTGTTTCTGGTTATACTTCTGGCCCTTGTGGACACTAAGCTCTTTGAGAGTTAGAGCTGTTGACCTCTGGATCCCCCCCAAAGCCCTCAGCACAATGCCTGGCACATAGCAGGCACTCAACAAGTATTTACTGAGTGCTTACTAGGTGCCAAGCACTGATCTGGGTGCTGGGGATACAGAGGTGAGCAAGGCAGGCAGGGGCCCTGCTCTCAAGGGGCTCCCACCACAATCAGGATGGATACAGCAATAACACAAACATGTCAGAAAGGAAGGAAACAGAAACAGGGAAAGTGGCTGGGAGCAGGGGTGGCTTTGGATTGGGTGGTCTAGGAAGGTCTCCCCAAGGAGGTGGCATGAGAGCTGAGTCTGGGATGGTGAGAAGGAACTAGCCATGGGAGAGGCAGAGAAAAGCATTCCAGGCAGAGGGAAGAGAGGCTGGGCAGAAGGTGGCCAGGGTGGCGAAGGCACCACCAGAGGGAGAGGAGAAGCCATGACCAGCAAGGCTGGCCAGGGCTGAACCATACAGGGCCTGGAAAGCCACAGTGGGACTGCGGGGAGCCCCTTAAGGGTTTTAAACAAGAATGACGTGATCTGAAAGATACCACTGGCTGACATCAGGGACAAGTAGAAGCAGGACGACCAGCAAGGAAGCTGTTGTACTTGTTGTACTGAGAGATGGCAGTAGCTTGGAGCAAGCAGGCAGTGGTGGAGGTGGGGAAAAGCAGACAGACCAGAAGCCGGACAGACAAGCATTAAGCTGACGGAACTAGCTAATGAAATGGATATAGGAGGTGGGGGAAGGGAAGAGTCATCAAAGATCCACAAAGGCCCATCCTCAGCTGGGTTCCAGGCCCAGCATTGTAGGAGACCACAGCAGAGTGTGTGTTCTGGGAGGAGAAAACCCGGGACTTGAATGGAAGATCTGTGGTTGAATCCAGGCCGAGTAACCTTACGGAGGCTGGATTGTTCCTGGTCAGACCCTTGGGTAACATGAAAACACCAAATCCTTTCTCTCAGGGTTGGAGGAGGGGTGCACTATCTCTGCCAGACAGGGTGGGCCTCAAGTGCAGAACCCCCACTTGACCTTTTTGTGTCCCTGGCACAAAAGAGGGAGATGGGAAAGCTTGTTGAAGAGACCAAATACTAGGTGAATGTCAACGTTTGCTATAACCAGGGAGGCAAGATGTAGCCAGATCTGACCCACAGGCAAGTGTCTGAGATCAGACGAACTGGGTCCAGTCATGCCAACAGCCAGGCCCTGAGTCTGATCCCCTACCTAGCACTTAACCCAGCCCACCCAGTCCTTTGGCTGGCAGGACGTCTACCTGTCCCTCTACCAAGTCTGTGGCTAGACACAGGTGGCTAAGTACTGCTCCCCTCTCAATTCCCTCTGCCATCCTCTCCCAAGATCCCAAGAAGCCTAACACCAAGGGCAAGGGGCTGCTCAGACCCTCTCTGATCTCTCGACAAGCTCTCCCAGGTACTTGTGTGGGCTGGGCCTAGGGGATAGAGCTGGATCAGACTTGTCTGTCTCCCAGAGCCTGGTATGTGGCAAATACTGTAGCAGAAGGTGCGCCCAGAGGAAGAGCCCTAAACCTAGCATGGGGGTCAGAGGAGGCTTCACAAGGACATCGTGTTTGACGTAAATCGTGAAGGATGAATACTAATTTATCGCGGGTAGATGGGCTTCCCAGACTGAGGGAACAGTGCTTGCAGGACAGAAGACACAAAAGAAAAATAGCAAGTACCCTTGAGAAACAAGCAGTGTGCTTAACATGGAGAGTCAGACAGTTGCAGGCTTGTTTCCCCATGTTTTAATGAGGGTAATAATTGTTTCCAGTTGCATGGAGCTGCTGGGAGGATTCTATCAAGTACAGTCATGCGCCACATAATGACACTCCAGTCAATATCGAACCACATGTGTGGCAATGGTCCCATGAGATTATAATGGAGCTGGAAAATTCCCATCACCTAGTGACACTGTAGCACAACGCATTACAACTGCCTACGGTATCCAGTGCAGTAACACGCTTGTAGCCTAGGAGCAATGGGCATACACCACATAGCCTAGGTGTGGAGCAGACTGTACCATCTGGGTGTGTAAGTGCACTCTATAATGTCTGCACAAGGATAAGATCACCTAACTACATTTCTCAGATGCCACCCCTGTCAAGTGACACATGACTGTAATGCCTGTCAAATGACTGGCATGCAGAAAACTAGCTGTTAGTATCTGTTAGGCACGTGCGCTTCAGCTGGAGTGAGGGGCAGGCAGGACAAAGCTGAGCTGCCTGTTCACGAGGGGCCCCCACGTCAAAAGACAGCGTGTTTTGTATCCTGTGCCCCTGGAAGCACAGAGGGGTGTGTTCTGCTTAGATAAGCATTTGGAGCCACCCCCAGGCAAAGAGCCCAGGCCTGGGTCCAGCTCAGGCGATGGGGAGATGGCGTCTGCGCGCGCGGAGGGGAGGGGGTCTGCTCACTCTCTAGCAGGTCCACCTCGAAGTTCCTGGTGGGCATCCGCACGGAGTTGAAGCCCCACGTGGGGATGTGGCCTTCCCGCGGCGGCTTCCCCGACAGGACTCGCAGGAACGTGCTCTTCCCGGAGCCATCCAGGCCCAGCACCAGCACCTCGCGCTGCTCCAGCTCCTCCAGCGCCGGCTCTTCCTCCTCGTCGCCCTCGTCGCCCTCGTCACCCTCGTCGCCCTCGTCGCCCTCGTCGTCCTCGGGCTGCGGGGTACAGGGCAGCTGCGGCCTCGCCCTCCCCCCTGCCCTTCCCGGGGGCCGGCACAGGCACCAAAGCGCCCATCCCCGCCCTCCACCGCCTGGGACCCGCGGGCGCAGCCCGGTGGGGTCCTGAATCCTCCGCCTCGTCTGCGGGCTTTCCCTGCGTGACCCCGCCAAGCTCCTCACGCGCACGCCCCGGGTGGCAGGGGCCGCGGAGTCGGGGCGGGAGC